GCCGTGCTGGAGGGGCTGATTGCACCCGAGCCAAAGGTCCCAGTGCCGCGTGGCAGCCGCTCAACGGAGAAGCCCTTCCCTTGCAGTGTCTGCGGGAAGAGCTTCAGCCAGCGGCCCAACCTCATCACCCACCAGCGCATCCACACCGGTGAGAAACCCTTCCCCTGCACCGAGTGTGGCAAGCGCTTCAACCAGAGAGCCAACCTCATCACCCACCGACGGATCCACTCGGGAGAGCGCCCCTTCCCCTGCGCCACCTGCGGGCGCTGTTTTAGCCAGAAGGGCAACCTGGCGGCCCACCAGCGCACCCACGCTGTGCAGGAGGGGCTGATTGCACCCGAGCCAAAGGTCCCAGTGCCGCGTGGCAGCCGCTCAACGGAGAAGCCCTTCCCTTGCAGTGTCTGCGGGAAGAGCTTCAGCCAGCGGCCCAACCTCATCACCCACCAGCGCATCCACACCGGTGAGAAACCCTTCCCCTGCACCGAGTGTGGCAAGCGCTTCAACCAGAGAGCCAACCTCATCACCCACCGACGGATCCACTCGGGAGAGCGCCCCTTCCCCTGTGCCACCTGCGGGCGGCGTTTTAGCCAGAAGGGCAACCTGGCGGCCCATCAGCGCACGCATTCGCAGCAGAGGCCCCACGCCTGCTCCTGCTGCCCCAAACGCTTCAAGGGGGAGTCAGCTCTACGCGCTCACCAGCGTACCCATCGGCAGGGGCTGGGCGCCGATCCCCTGACTAGCACCCTTCTGTCTGCGCCTGCGCTGCAACAAGCCCTCCCGGGGGACCCCGCTTCAGCTGCACAGCGAGCCACTCCGGCCCCCCGTCCGGATCTTCCCGGAGATCCCTCTCCCAATGTTCACCAACCAGCCCCCTCTGGGCAACATGGGGCCCCTCATGGGCAGAGTCTTCCTGCAGACCCGCCCCCTGGTCAACACACGGCTGGCCCCTCGACGCACCTTCAAGGAGTGGCCCCTGGCTCGGAGCAGGGGCCGAAGCTAAGCGCTCCACCCACCATTCTGGATCCCCATGTGGAGATGCTCCATTGCCAACGCCGGCTGGGCCTCCCATTGCTGCCCAGTTCCAGCGCTCATTCGGTTGTGCCCATGGGGCAACCCCCTCCCATCACCTCGAAGCCCAAGGGGTTGTCAGCCGCCCCCCGGCCCACCACCACTGTGGAAGCCCCAAGTGAGATGCTTCACTGCCTCTGCCATGCTGGCAGGGCCTCTTTGGTCATTCCGCACACCCCACATCTGGGGCAGCTCCAACCCGGCAACAGGGACGCCCCGGGCCGCACCTGGCTGGGCCTCCCCTGCCCAACACGCACCCTTCAGCTCCAGCAGGGCGGCCAGACACACCCAGCTGCTCCTAATCCCAGACTATGTTCGATTCCTGATTCTTTGCGGTAACTTGCTGCACGAGCACAGATTGGCCGAGGCTGGACTTTCCTCGGATTCCCTCTTCCCCCCCTCCCCCCCGTCAGCAGAGCCCTTTGGGGCGGACCGCGGGGTTTATGCATGTATCCTAAACCGAGAAGTTCCCATCTGCCCCCTCCTACTCTAGGGACGCACACGGACCCTCCTTGGATCTAACCTACCTGACCAAGACTCTCTGTCTCAAGAGGCAATCCATCCTTCCAGCAAGGGTACTCCCTCCCCTCCCAAAGTGTCACATGGCAGAAGGACCAAAACCGTGCCCACCTTGTCTTACTGCACCTGAATCTCTCTGGATGTGCCTCATCTACCCCTGAACAGACAGAAGGAAAGACCGAGAATTTGGCAGCAGTCCAAACGGGAAGTGAAGGTGGAAGAGCGCCTCCCCATTCTTGGAAACTTTACTGAAGGTTGCACCCCTCAATAAACCCTGGTTGGGGGGAGTGCCTCGTACCCGGACACGACTCTTGGCGCACCCCCAAGATGGTGGTTCCGCTCTGTTACGGCTTTGCAAAGCTGCCTCAGAGACTCCATGGTCCCCGTTCCCACTCTTGCTTTCCTCCAAAAGGAAACATTGAAATAACTTGTTGCAGAAATGTACCGTCGGCATCGTGCTGCCGCTGGGCAAATCGAACGGCTGAACTCTTGCCGGCAAGGGAGCACCGGCTTTGTGCCAAACAGAACAGACTGGTGGTCATGCTCCCCATATGTCCATCACGGTGAAACAGAACCTGGACATTTTGGGTGTGTGTGGGGAGGGATTTCGCACCTCCCACAGGGGGAAAAAGACATTGGGGTGGGGCTCTGCCTGGCACTCAACTCCGGGAGTTAATGAGCCCTCAGGTCAGGAAAGCCACATCCCCCCCCCCTCCAGCCATATGGGGCTGTCTTGGGGGTGGGACAAGTCAGAAGGAAACACCACCACCCCTCTACTCCCAACAGCTGGACTAGAAAGGCCTGATGCTTGCGTGGAGCCGACACCAAAGAGGTTGGATTGTGGTGGGGCTGAAAGATGGGTGGGGTCCTTGCAGAAAGAGGGGCCAGAATGAACAAGAAGCACTTTAGAACGGCCTGTTGCCCCTGGACTTGCCCCCCTGCCCGTGTGGCACCCACGCCTTTTCACGGGGCTGCCAAAAGGGAGAAAGCTGGATTTTTGTGTGAGGGGGGGTGGGTGTCTGTGCCTTAAGCTGGGAAGCCTTCCTGGAAAGAAAGAGGGATGGGGTCTCCTTTCGTATGGTAGGGCCCCAAGACGATCAAATGTACAAAGGGAGCCCGCCGAGGGTCCAGGCTTATGACGGGAAAGGAGGGGGAATAGCAACAGCCGCCTCTCCTGCTGAAGTCTGCAAGGGATGAGAAGTGTGGGGTGGTAGGCCCCCTCCCCTCTCCCGGCTTCTCTGGGCATCCGGTGCCTGTTGAGTTAGGCTGATTTCGGGGGCCGTAGGTGGCACAGATTTTATCTTGGGAACGGGCAGAGGTGTTGATGGCGACGTGGTCGAGCGTGCAAATGATGTGAGGAGGGAGATCGCTTAGCTCGTGCTGGGATGCGTGCATGGGCACACAGAGTTGCAGCTTCGTGCATGAGTCGGATGGGGTGGGGGAATCTGTCAGGAACTTTGATTGACTTGCAGTCGGCAGCCCGGGTGATGGAGGGTGCTCTGAGGGGTGAATTCTTCTAACTCTTTGCTCGGCGATGTACCCTGAGATCAAACCGCCCAGAAGTTGAGAAGTGGGGACCTTTTTTTTTTAAGCTGGTGAAATTCAGCCATGCCAGTCTGGAGGCATGTTGGAGGCTTGGTCCATCGCTAAGGAACAGACGGACTCAACCTCCCCTCTGCCCCCCAAAAGAAACACAATTGTGGTCAAAGTTTTGTTCAAGGTCAAGTGAGTTGGAGCTCGGGTGACGGGTTCCCCATCTTCTCCAGCCAAGAGTTTCGGGCAGCCGAACTGTCCTGCCTTGTTTGGCGTGGAGATAGTTTTGCCAGCATAGGGGCAGCCCCCGAAGCCAAGNCCAGGTTTTGGTGCTTTTGGCAGTATGGGCAGGTGCCAAGTCCTGCTGGAAAATGAAGTCAGCATCCCCATAAAGCTCATCTGCAGAAGGAAGCACGAAGTGCTCCAAAATCTCCTGGTAGACGGCTGCGTTGACCCTGGACTTAATGAAGCACTCCGTTACGTGGCACTAGGGATCCCAACTGCTGAACTGCGACCTTTCTGATCGACAAGCTTAGCATCTTAGCCACTGAGCCACTACTGAGCCTTTTATATTTAAATCTATTTTATTCTCATTCTTATGCTGTTCTAATTCTATTTAATTCTATTCTCTATTCTACTGTTACTCTATTCTCATTCTTATTCTATTCTTCTATTTAATCTATTTTATTCTAATTTTATTTTATTCTATATTCTCATTCTATTCTATTCTAATTCTATTACATTTAATTCTATTCTCATTCTATTCTATTCTCATTCTATTCTATTTAATTCTCATTCTCATTCTTATTCTATTCTTTTCTCATCTCATTCTATTTAATTTATTCTATTCTAATTTTATTCTATATTTTCATTCTATTCTAATTCTACTATATTTAATTCTATTCTCATTCTCTTCTATTCTCATTCTCTTCTATTTAATTCTCATTCTTATTCTATTCTGATTCTATTCTAATTCTACTATATATAATTCTAATTCTATTCTATTCTGTGTTCTACTGTTATAATATTCTGATTCTATTCTATTCTAATTCTTCTATTATATTTAATACTATTCTCATTCTATTCTAATTCTATTATATTCTCTTTTCTATTCTACTTATGAACTGCAGAGATTCACTGAACAGCTGTCGCAAGAAAGGAACGTCAGAGGGGGAAAAACTCACTTAGCGACGTAAATGTTGAGGACTATCTATTCTAGAAGACCTCCAAGGTCCCTTCCATCTCTATTCTGGGCCTCAGTTCTCGAGACTTTCCCAGTATTTTATTATTTTATTTTATTTATTTATTGTTTTCCAAAGCAATTCCGGCTCTCATTCCCTTTTTGGGCTTCGCTCCACACCAGCAGCGCGGTTGTTAAAAAGAGAGTCAGGTGGGTGACGTCTTGCTGCTTGCAGATTCGCCGATCTTTTTCTCAGGGACGCTGACGGCACAAGTCTAGATCAGCCGCCGCCAGGCTTTACGCTTCCTTCGTTTTGGCGGCATCATGTGACCCCGGTGACGCTCCTTCGCGAGGGGATTGACAGGCTGCCGCGTCCAACCGCTGCAGCCGGCCTGCCAAAGGGTTGCTCTGCGTCTCCTGAGGAGTGTGGTGGGAAGGATTAGGGAAGCCCCTTTGTGCATGTGCCAGGAGTGCAGGGCAGCAGATGGAGGAGGCTTTCTACAGAACGCAGAATTGGACGGGATCTTTGGAGGTCATCTAGTCCAGCCCTCTGCTCAAACAGGAGACCCTCACAAGAATCATAGAATGGAACTGACCTTGGAGGTCATCTAGTCCAACCCCGTTCGAGCACAGAATCATGAAAGGGACCTTGGAGGTAATCTAGTCCAGCCCCCTGCTAAAGCAGGAGGACCCCCCCTCCATGGTTCCAGCCCCCTCTCTTGTTACTGTTTCAAAAGTCCTCCCCACCCTGCCTGATTCACTTATGGACAGCCGCAATTCACGTAACGATTAAGGATGCAACTCAGCAACTGGGTCACTTAGCAATTTGGCACTCAGTTGTGGTCATACAGGTGGTCCTTGATTTACGATGGTCCGTTCAGTGACCGTTCGAAAGTTACAAAGGCACCGCTGTTTCATTCTTAATGACATGGCATCCCTGGGGTGATGTGATAGAAATTCGGATGCTTGGCCGCTGACTCGTAGTTATGACGGTCGCAGGGCCCCTGGGTCCCACGATCCCCTTTTGTGACCTTCTGACTGGCAAAGTCGACGGGGAAGCTGGAATCACTTTACAACCATGTGGCTCACTTAACGACTGCAATGATTCACTTAACGACAGTGAGAAGAAATGAAAGGACACCATAACTTGAAAGGCAAACCGTCCTCTACTTAACGGCCACAACTGGGCCCCCAAATTACCTCGCAAAACAAAACCATTGTTAAATGAACTTTACCCCGTTTTCGGACCATCGTTAAGCAAATCACCACCATTGTTAAGCTACTCACACAGTTGTTCAGGGAATCCAGCTTCCTGTCAACCTTGCTTGTCACAAGAAGGGATCGCAGTGATCGACGTAACTATGACTCAGCTGCTAAGCCATGTCTGAATTTTGAAGGGGTGCTGCAACCGTCCTTCAGTGTGAAAAAGTCCTTTTTTTCAGGGCCGTCGTAACTTCGAACAGTCATTAAGTCAAGGGCAAAGGCGGAGCTCACACCTCAAATGATGGTTGGTTTATGTCGGGTGGATTGTAGTGCCCGAATCAAGCCAGGTTGGCTTCACCGTTCACGGTTTGNATGCAGACCCTGACCCCAAAGATCGGGAAATTAAGAGGAGTGGAGTTTGAAGCCCGCAAAAAGTTTGAGGGAAAATTTTTGTTTTTCCCAAGGAACGTCAAGTTGCTAGACCTGCACAATCTAACCCCCCCCCCCCCTTCCACGGCGGGGGTGGGGCGGGGTGGCAGTTCCTGACCCTTCGGAAGAGCCAGTGAGGAGAGGGTGCCATCTATCTGCAAGACCGCTTTTGGAAAGGGGGAGAGCCGCTCTTTCCCTAAACCCGCTCCTTCGCCCGGGGCGATCCGAGGCGGGGAGAGACATTTTGCGCGCACGGGCTGAGCGCCATTGTTTTCGGTGGGTGGGGGTTCCCGCCCCGCGGAAATCCGATGCTGGCGCTTCCTTGCAACGGCCGGGATCTGCAGCGGCGGATGGGTAGAAGGCTACGCTGGCTGCGGGGGAGGGTCGGGGTGTTTTCGGAGGCAGAAAGGTGGGTAGGGGGAGAGTCGGTCTGGGTTGGCCCCGCCCTCCTGCTCCGGGAGGCCGTGGAAAAACTACACTTCCCGGCGTGCAGCTGTTTGTTACCTCCTCCTCCTCGGAGTGTAAATCTTGCAAGGCTAACAAAAGAGCAACCGGCTAAGCAAGCAGCAGCATCAGGACCGGCGACCGCAATACTGAGCCGCACTCTTCTCCATCCTTGCAAGATCGCCCCGCGGAAGAGTGGGGTGGGTGGGTAGGAGGGAAATTAGAGCCATGGCCGGAGGGACCCCCGCGCAGGTAGGCCGAATGGGCCCGGGTCTCTCTCTCTCTCTCTCCCACCCGGTGCAACCCCGACTTTCCACGCCCCAAGTGCCCTCCTCCTCCGGTCGTTGCCGGAGCTGTTTGCGGGTGCGCCGCTGCTGCTTGGCTTGCCCCCCTCCCCTTATTCTGGAAGAAAACCACCTCCTCCCTAGGAACGAGCCCCACCCCATCCCCACCTTCACATTGCTGCCCGCGCGGGGGTCGGGGTGGCTCGGCTCTTAGACCGAGGCTGAGACCCCCTCCCCAGCAGGAGGAGACGCGGGAAGGAAGGAATCCCCCCCCCCCATTTCCGTCAGGGACTTGCAAAGGGAAGGCTGACAAGGCAACCGCTACCCACTCACCCACCTACCCACTCAAGCGCTTCACTCATGGGACCCCGGGATGGAGCAGCGGTGGAGTGGGGGGGGGGGGGTGAGAGCAGCAGTTTTGCAGAAGATGCAAAAGGGTTTCCCAGCCCGGAAAACATCTGGAGGAGTTTCCGTGCAAAAGTGGCGCGTTTGAAACCCGTGCGTGAAAGGAAGTTGACAGCTGGGGTTCAAACGGTCTTTGAGAAGGGGACAGAGAAGGGGGGGTTCCTCCTACCTGCTTTGGGCTCTCAGAGAGCCCCCTCCCACCCTCATTTTGGCCCTGGGGTCCTCCCCTTGCCTATGGGAAGGAAGGACGGAAGGAAGGAAAGAAAAATAAAGAAGTACAAAGAAGAAAGGAATGAAGGAATGAAGGAAAGGAAAAAGAAAGAGGGGGGAGGGAAGGAAAAAGGAAGGAAGGCAAAAGTAAGGGGGAGGGAGGGAATGAAAGAAGGAAGGAAAAAGGAAGGGAGGAAGGAAAAGAACAGGGAGGGAGGGAGGGAAAAGGAAGGAGGTAGGAAATAAAAAATAAGGAAGGACAAAGAAGAAAGGAAGGAAGGAAGGGAGAAAGAGAAATGGGGGGGGGAAGAAAAAGAGGGAAGTTCTGTGGTCCCTCTGTACTTTGAGGGAGGGTCTCTCCACCTGGCTGGATGGTCCTCAGCCTGGCCCTTCTTCCTGAGCCGTCCTCACTTGGCTGTCCTCCCGACAGGTGCCGGTGGCCTTTGGGGACGTGGCAATCTGCTTCTCGGCCGAGGAATGGGCAGCGCTGGCCGGATGGCAGAAGGACCTCTATCGCGACGTCATGGCCGAGAACTTCCAGCTGGTCTCCTCGCTGGGTAAAGCCTGGAGGGTTCCCCCGTCCCCGGGAGGGGGGGAAAGAGTCGTGAGTCATGGGGGTGGGGCATCTGGGGCTGCCCAAACGCCTCCTTTGCCATCCTGGTTGCAGACAATTTGATGCCCAGCGCAAGCTCAGTGGACCGAGTGGGCAAGGAACTGTGGCAGAGAATGACAGAGTTGGAAGAGAGCCTCAGAGGTCATCTAGTCTGCCCCCCTGTTTGAGCAGGAGACCCTTACAGAATCACAATAACAGAGTTGGAAGGGACCTTGGGGGTCATCTAGTCCAGCCCTCCTGCTCAAACAGGAGATCTTTACAGAATCGGAGATTGGTGGTACTGTGGAGGTCATCTAGTCCAACCCCCTGCTCAAGCAGGAAACCCTGACAGAATCACAGAATAACAGAGTTGGAAGGGACCTCGGAGGTCATCTAGTCCAACCCCCTTCTTTCCCTTTGCAGAATGTCTGCTGGCCATCCCTGAACTGCTATCCCAGCTGGCACGAGGAGAGGTGCCCCAGATCGATGCTGGGCCACCCCCAGCGCAGGACGGGGAGTGTCCAGGTAAGGGGGAGGGGCTTCTGGGCAGGGCATTGGTGGTCTCCCACTCTGCACAGGCTCTGGATGTCGGGTGCAAACTGTCAGCCTGGATGGGGTCATNTGATATGGGAGAGGGGTCTGAATTGGGATCCTTTAGAGGGGCTTTGCGATCCAGAAAACGGGTGCCACATTCTTCCCCGAATTGGGATCTTTTATGGGGCTGTGTGATCCAAAAACATGCCACATTCTTCCCTGAATTGGGATCCTTTGGGGGCCTGTGTGATCCAGAAAATGGGTGCCAGGTTCTTTCCCAAATTGGGATCCTTGGGGGTGGGGGGCTGTGCAATCCTGGAGAGGGGTGGCAGGTTCTTTCCCCCAAGTGGGATCCTTTAGGAAATCAATGTGTTTGTTTGTTTGTTTGTTTGTTTATTTAATTTGTATGCCACCCACTCTCAAAGAGACTCAGGGCGGTGTTGTTCTTCCCCACAGTGGGATCCTTTAGGGAGTTGTGTGATCCAAACAATGGGTGCCACATTCTTCCCCAAATTGGGATCCTTTGGCCAATCACCAACTCAAATGATTGCTAAAGTAAAATTAGTCAAAACAACGATCATTGGAAGAGAGTCTTTGCAGCTCAGGGTTCAACTGTTCGGAGCTTGGGGGTGGGTGTTCCTTGCAGATGTCTTGTGACCCAACTAGGCTACATCATCAGTGCTGGAAGGGAGGAAGAGGAGGAGAGTGAGGAAGAGGAAAAGTGGGGGAGGAGGAGGACTGTGAGGTCCTTGGTGCTCTCTGAGCTTGGTTGTTTTCGTGTAGACGTCCCGTGACCCAACTAGGTTACGTCATCAGTGATGGAAGGGAGGAGGAGGACGACTGAGGGTGTCCTTAGTGCTCTCTGAGCTTGGTTGTTTTTGTTGCAGACATCTTGTGACCCAACTAGGTTAGGTCATCAGTGCTAAGAGGAGGAGGAAGGACTGTGGGGCCCTTGGTGCTCTCTGAGCTTGGTGGTTTTCTTGCAGATGTTTCACGACCCAACTAGGGAACATCATCGGGATTCGAAGGGAGTGAGGTTTGTGGAGAAGAGGAGGAGGAGGAGGACAGCTGAGGGGGTCCTGGGTGCTCTCTGAGCGTGCTGCTTTTCTTGGAGACATTTCATGACCCAACTAGGTTATATTGACTCCCACTCCCTTGTAGCACTGATTCTGTTACCTAGTTGGGCAATGAAACGTCTGTGAGAAAAACCACGCAACTCAGAGAGCACCGAAGGCCAGGCCCGGAATCTCATGTGCCCTGAAGCTCTGTCCCTGCCAAGCACTGTAACACCCTGCTCGGTTCCGTTTAACTCCAACATTTTTTATATTCTCTTTTATACTCTATTTTATATTCTATCCTATATTCTATTCTCTATTATCATATTCTATTCTATTCCTTTGTATTATTTTATATTCTATTACATTCTGTATTCTATTCTATTTTATATTCTATTCTATATTCTATTCTATTTTATATTCTATTTTTATTGTATTCTAAGTTCTATTTTAAGTTCTATTTCTCTTCTATATTCTCTTCCCTTCCTTTCTATTTTATTTTACTTTTTAAAGTAAAGGAAGGGGACCCTGGGGCCCTGCTCCCACAGTCTTAAGTGTGGGTCTGTCTAGCATCCGAATGCAAATCGCAGGGAAGCTGCAATGCTCGTCAGTGAGATAAATGGTCCTCCTCCCTCCTCCCCCCTAGCCATTGTAACTTGGAACAGTCGCTAAGTGAAGAAGTTGTAAGTCGAGGATTACCAGCAGAGAAGGGGGCCTTGGCCACTTTGAGACTTGTGGGACTTCAACTCCCAGAATTCCCCAGCGAGCAAAGGTGGCCAAAGGAGATTACAGCCAGTCCTCGACTTACAGCCGTTCAAAGTTACAACAACGGCACTGAAAAAAAATGTGACCGGACCATTTTTCACACTTAACGACCGTTGCAGCATCCCCATGGGCACGTGATCAAAATTCATCTGACAACTGACTTGTATTTGGAAACTAACACACACACAGTCTATCTATTTTCTCTCTCTCTATCCATCCATCCATCCCTATCTTCTAGCTGCTGATCTCATAGGAATGGACGGATGGATGGAGAGAGAGAAAATAGATGGACAATGTTGGTGTGAGAAAGAGAGATGATAGATAGATAGATGATAGATAGATAGATAGATAGATAGATAGATAGATAGATAGATAGATAGATAGATAGATAGATNGTGGGGTGGGTGGGTAGGGGGGAAATTAGAGCCATGGCCGGAGGGACCCCCGCGCAGGTAGGCCGAGTGGGCCCGGGTCTCTCTGTCTCTCTCTCACCCGGTGCAACCCCGCCTTTCCACGCCCCAAGCCCCCTCCTCCTCCGGTCGTTGCCGGAGGTGTTTGCGGGGGCGCCGCTGCTCCTTGACTTGCCCCCTCTCCTTATTCTGGAAGAAAACCACCCCCTCCCCAGGGACGATCCCCACCCCATCCCCACCTTCAGATTGCCGACCGCGCGGGGGTCAAGGTGGCTCGGCTCTTACACCGACACCCCTCCCCAGCAGGAGGAGACGCTTCTCCTGCATGCCGCCCCCACCCCTCTTTGAGCGGCGGGGCGGGGGGAGAGTTGTTTTGCTCTGTCTTGCGGGTGGGTAGTAGGACTCGCGATCCCATCGCTCCGTGTGCCGGCCGGGAACGATGGGAGCAGTGGGGCGGAGCGCAGAAAGATGTTTGCATGGCTTTTGGGAAGAGGGGACGGAGGGGGGGCGGGAAGGATGGAATCCCCCACCCCATTTCCGTCTGGGACTTGCAAAGGGAAGGCTGGCAAGGCAACCCCTTCCCACTCACCCACCCAAGCGCTTCACCCATGGGACCCCGGGACGGAGCAGCGGTGGAAGGGTGTGTGAGAGAGCATCAGTTTTGCAGAAGATGCAAAAGGGTTTCCCAGCCCGGAAAACATTTGGAGGAGTTTCCGTGCAAAAGTGGCACGTTTTAAACCCGTGCGTGAAAGGAAGCTGACAGCTGGGGTTCAGGCGAGAAGGGGGCAGAGAAGGGGGTTCCTTATACTGGCTTTGGGCTCTCAGACAGCCCCTCCCACCCTTATTTTGGCCCTGGGGTCCTTCCCTTGCCTATGGGGTGGAAGGAAGGAAGGATGGAAGAAAGGAAGGAAAAAGAAAGAGGGGAGGGAAGAAGAAAGGAAGGAAAAGGAAAGAAGGAAAAATAAAATGGGGAGTGAAGGAAGGAAAAGAAACGAAGGAAAAGGAGTGAAGGAAGGAAAAAGTAAGAGGGAGGGGAGGGAGGGAAGGAAGTAAAGAAGAAGGGAGGAAAAGAGAAGGGAGGGAGGGAAAAGGAAGGAGATAGGAAAGAAAAAATAAAGACGTACAAAGAAGAAAGGAAGGAAAGAAGGAAAAAGAAAGAGGGGGAGGGAAGGAAAAAGGAAGGAAGGAAAAGAGCAGGGAGGGAGGAATAAGGAAGGAGATAGGAACTAAAAAATAAGGAAAGACAAGGGAGAAAGAGAAAGGGGGGGGGAGAAAAAGAGGGAAGTTCTGTGGTCCCTGGGCACTTTGAGGGAGGGTCTCTCTCTCTCAGCCTGTCCCTTCTTCCTGAGCCGTCCTCACTTGGCTGTCCTCCCGACAGGTGCCG